CACTGTATATACTTTCTGTAATAAAATTTCTAAAAAGACAAATTCAAAAATAATATTAAATACAAATACTTTCTACACCCACTGTATATTATACTGTATAAAACTCTATTACTGTACTTTTTGTAATAAAATTTCTAAAATAAATTCAAAAAAAAAAAAACAAAAAAATATTAATGAACGTTAAATAAATATTTTTGCTTTTAAACGAATGATAATATAAATTATGTTATTTTATGGAGAAGTTTGTTAAAAGAATATACAGAAAAAGAGGAAGAGGAAGAAGAAGAAGAAGAAGAAGAAGAAGAAGAAGAAGAGGAGGAAATGATTGATTGTAGAAGAGAGAAGCAGAGCGTGACAAAACCGAGGAACTTGCTGAAGTAACCATAACGTAGAAGCTATCCGAACCGACTCCCCAAGGCAAATGTTATGGCAACAAGGTTGTAAACAAAATACAGCGTGACTGGCTCGTGGGGTAAACGATATCGGTTACGAGTTGCGGACCTTAATGATTTGCTACTGATTCTTAAAATTTCCTACTCTTGTGTGGCACTGTTAATAAAATAAATATAACATAAATAATAATAATATATATACATGACAGATCTGTGTATATATATATATATATATATATATATATATATATACTATATGTGTACAGTACCAAAGAAAAGTATTTAACACAGATTACACTTTCCTCATAACATTTTCTGTAAATTTTTACTAACTACTATTATTTATTAATTATTAAATTTGTTTTCTTTTAATCTTTCTATTATTTTTGTAATAATTATGTTTTAGTTTACTATCTCACATCATATATATATATTCTGTATATACAAGTTCAACTTATTTCCTGTATGGTATTACTAATTCCTCGAAGAATGACGTTTATTACCACGAACCTATCGCAAGACGAATCGTTTGTGTCACGCTTACAAATAGGATTAGCATTGTGCTCAGTATGCAACGATTCTTTTTACTTGCGACCACCTGTAAAGATAGATCTACATATGATACAGCAGATTTCATTACTTCTAACATTAGGTCACCCATTTCTTTACAGTTTGGTTAAATTCTTCTCGACAATTATCTACTATCTTTTCTTTTTTTTTTAATTAAAACTCAATCCTAAAACTTACAAATGGTGTTGTTGTGACGTGCCATTAAACTTACATTTTAATTAAATTCGTCTATTTGTGGTGTGTCAGCGTGCAAAAAATATAAATCAAATATAAGGAAAGTAACATGCAGGAGAAGTATTTTGAGTTAAATAAAAGGAAGAACTGTATAAGCTGTAAAAAAAAAAAAAACATGGAAACATTTTCAAGAAGATTCAAGATTATTGCTCACAGTATAATCGATCGTATCATCGAGTTCAAGATCAAGATCCAGATCATCATCGTCAACAGTCAATGGCCTGGAATTGCTTGTTTTGATCACCTTTTCTGGAACTACACTTTTTGCTAAACTTGGTTTAGCTGTAATCTCAATATTTTGTAATCTGTTGAGTAAATCTTCCTGTGATTGTTGCGTAGTTTCAGGTTCTACGGTACTGGTACCAGGATTTACAGTATAATTGAATTTTCCTGCTGCTTCAGCTGCCAACATTTCTTCTATTGGTTTACGGTCAATGTTCGGCTGTAATCAAATTGTATTCATGTATCGTAAACATATCTTACGAATAAATTGATCATTTTTACCTGTATTGTTGGGAACATGGATGCAGGAATTTTTCTTTTATTCTCTTCTCTCAAGAATTGTTCAACTTTCAATGCTTCTCTATATCCAGGAAATAGATTTTCATATTGTTCTGGATCAGCTAAACTCTGTCCAGCTTTTTCACTAACCGCTGATAATTTTTCTTTCCACAATTGAACAATTGATGATATTTTACTCGGTGCATAAGTTCTAGCGAAGAAAGCAGCTTCTGGGATTTTGTTTGTCTTTAAAAGAATTTCAATACATTTGTCAATATCTCCAAGTATGAAATTTGATAAAAATGAGATATTGTTTTTGCCCATTTCATCAGCATCAGCGCCAAGTTTTTGAATCATGCTTGCATTTCCAGTACTAGTTGCTAACAAAAGTAAACCACCAAAGTCTTGAGCTTGATGTAAACATTCTTGAGCTAAGCATAGTTTTCCTTTTTGCGTTGCTAAAGATGCCAATTGTCGCCACTTTTGTTGACTATTTGCTTCTTTAGCAAGGGAATGTGCTGTTGTCAAATCTCCCAATGCCAATGCTAATTCAAACCTGTGATCTGGATCAGTTGAGACAGCCAAAGCTTGTTCTTTGAATCCCTGTTAAATCATTATAAAAAATTGTATTTTATTTTGACATTATATTTCATTATTATATTATATTTTGTACAAACAAACCTGTTTTTCTAAGAAGTGTGCTACTCTTGTACGATGTTCTTTAGGTACAGTTGGCAAGACTCTGTCAGCAGTTTCAAAATCTTTTCGCATAACAGCTGTTTGATATTCTAATACAGACAGTAATAAAGAATAAGAGACAACGGACAGTTCTTTATCACATAAATACAATCTATTATCTCTTGGTACATAACCAAGTAAATACATTGGCCTATCTAGATGAAAAACTGTGACTACTTCTCCACCAACAAAGTAGTTTATTCTATTAACACTATTCGTATAGATAAAACAATCACCAACCCATAGACCTGTTTTTACTACTTCCGTCATTTCTGCTACCATCTAAAATAAAAAGATCATTTGTTATAGAATATAATGTATCTATTGTAATAAGATTAAAATAAGATAAATATCTTTACCTCAAATGCATCTTCTATATCCTCAGCATTCTCAGCTGCATTAGCAACAGCATCAGCATGATACTTTAAAATGAAATATTGATCTGAGGTAGCTAATGCCAAAAGAGAAGCATTTTCAGCCCAATAAACATGTGTAGGTTGAATATCAATACGTCTAATTAATTTTAATGTGTCCCAATCAAAGAAAGATAAACCAGATCCAGATGATACTCCAAGTAAATATCCTCCAAATATGCCTGCAATAAGTACAAATATTTTATATAGAAAGAGGTTATGTTTTAACAATATTAAGATACAAAAGTTTGTTCTTATTTTTAATAATTCTACGGGCAGAATATTTTTTAAGTTGAATAACTTGAAGTATAGAAAAAGGTAAAATGGAGTAGAATTGATATTATTTAGTAAAATAAGGTTAAATACAAAAAAAAGTATATTATGCATGTGTGTGATATAATTTTTAACTTATAATTATAATAATATTATATATAATATAATATAATATAATAAATATTATATATGATATTATAAATAACCTATATTATATCACCTAACCTATATTAATATATATTATATTAGGTTATTATATTAATATAGGTTACTATAATATTAGTACCATAATACTATATATGTAAAAATAATACCATAATATTATCACTTAACCTATAATAATATATATTATATTATATTATTATAGGTATTAATATAGGTTAGTAGGTTATATAGGTTATTAATATAATAACCTAATATAATATATATTATTATAGGTTAAATATGATAATTATATATAATAAATATTATATATTATAATAACATTAACTTAATAAGATAAAGTTAACTTATGTTCAACCTATCACCAAAAATAAAGGAAGAAATATTCAGAATAACCTAATATTTTATTATAAAAATAGAAAGAGAGATAAATATATTTACCATCAGCACCAAAGTCTGGTTTAAAATTTTTCTTCTCTTTGAAATTTTTGAAGACTTTGACAGACGTAGTACTTTCCCTTACAGCATACTGACTTGAATCAGCTGCCCAAACAAATTCTGACGCTTGTCCAAAAGCTTTATTTCTCAATGCCATAGAAGTATAAATTATATATTCTCCATCTCCACAAACTACTAAAAATCTTCCATTTGGATTATGCTGAATAGTTTGAGGATAGATTTCACAAGCACCCATATCTTTGACAGCTAATGGTAAACGTTCACCATCTTGAGCTTCTTCTCCTAATGCTTTTAAATTAACTTGTTGAATTTCACTGTGTTTAGCCCATACAATTTTTCCACCTAATGAATCCATAGAAACAGCTGGTTCTTCTCTACCAACTTTTACCATGACACTTCCTTCATCATAACCTATAGCAACGTTGTTTGAGCCTCGCATGCAAGCAATAGTCCAAACTCTTTCAAAACCATAATTAAGAGAGGATTCCAGTCTGTACGTTCCAGCATGCCATATTCTAACAGTACCATCTTCAGAACCAGTTAAAACGATAGGTAATTCTGGATGGAAACAAACTGCTGAGATATTTTGTGTATGGCCTTCCAATGTTTGAACACAAGTTTTATTTTGATAATCCCAAATTTTGACATATTTGTCATCCGCTCCTGACATTAAATAAGGTTTATCACCACCGTGATAATAATCCACACAATTGACACCTTTCTCATGACCCTCCAGTGTGAAATTAGCAGTGGATGATCCTAATTGCCATACTTTAACCGTTCTGTCCAATGATGCACTAGCAAATGTATTATTGTCTTTTGGATTAAACACAATTTGCATGACGTAATGCGTGTGTCCTTCAAAAATTTGTTGACTTATCCAAGATTTTTCCCAATTCCATAATTTAATTGACATGTCATCTTTTACAAATAAAAATTAAACAGATTAAAACAATTGTTCAATCAAATATAGAAAATTAGAATGAATAATGTAATTATAACGTTTGTGCTTACCACTGCTGGTTAAGATAAATGGCTGAGTTGGATGCACTGCTATGCATCTGACATAATCACTATGTGCTTCAAAAGAATGTACACGTTCTAAAGTATTATAATTGAATACTCTAATCTGCATATCATCAGATCCTGTGACAACCCAATTCTTGCGTGGTACAAACTTAGCTGCACGAACTGGCAAGTCGCATACTTCAAATGTCTTAACAAGCGTTTGAGTTTCATGATTCCAAATGTTAACATTGCCTTGATATAAGGAACACAACATCCATGGTTCTTTTGGATGAAGATCTACACATTTAACTCTATCTGACCTGGCCGTCAATTTTCTTTTAATATCTAACCTCAAAGGCTGCAAAAGTGACATACTGATGATTGTCCTTGTTCTTACTTAAGATATAATTTTTCATTCAGTAATTTAACACTTAATCTTGATTAGATTTATTGTAAATATATTATTAGATCTTTGTTCATTTATAAATATATTTTATAATATGTAACAATAAATGTTTTGACGTGTCGAGTGTTAGAAAGATGTACTGAAGTCGATACACTTGTCTTCTACAGGTGTTTATCGATATCATTTCAATAATATATTTACAATATTAAAAGTGAAATATTTAAAACGTACCATTTTTGATGTTTTTTAAGAATATATTCACTGTATTATATATATATATTGTTAAATTCAACGAATAAAATCCAGTATTAGATCTAAACAAGAAACCTCGGCTATGAAGTTAAGACGTGGCCGATGATCCGAACAAAAATGGCGTCAACATGTGTCAACCGATAACAAACACCTTTTTTTTTCTTCATTTATTTTACATATTTGTTACGAGTGATTATAGATAATAATTAAATATCTAAAATACATTATGATGATGTATGCATTGATTTACATAAATGAAAAATCATATTTTAATTTAATAATTAAATATTGATATCTCTTACATGGTTAGATTAACTCGGTCGATAAATTAATTTTCTTCTTACAATATTACTATCTGACTTGATAAGGTAGGAAACTGCACTATAAAATATTGTACTAACTAAATAATTGTATAAAATATGTAGTTATAAGTATGTACTAACAAAGTATTGGTAATAATTATCTGTTTTTTGGTAAGATAGAAAACTGCACTACAAGATTACTATTTGTTGTTGATAAGGTAGAAAACTTTAATCGATTTCAAATTTTTATAAAAGAAATATAATCTATTGAAAAATCAATAATTGTAATAAGTCACAAAATTGACAAAATTAATTATACAATTATTTTTATTATAATATTAAATAAATTATTTCAATATTTTGTGTTTTTTCTTAAATCAATTGTCATAATAATTACAACACATACAATTTGGAATATATATTTTAAATTAATAATATAATAACTTTTAATTAATTCAATTATTATTTTGTAATCAAATTATGAATCATTTAATATAAAAAAGTTATTATTATTTTTTTTTTTTTGAATTAAAAATGTATTATCACAATGTCAACATTGGTAATAAGATAGAAAGTTTAATTACTAGGAAGGTCAAGTTTATGGATGCACAAAGTAAAACCATAAAAGGTTTATCGTTGATGAAAGACCTATTGAAAGGAACGAACGAGTATTTAGGTGAAAAAGGTCACAGCTAAGAAACGAAAGATACAAATTGCGTCGGAAATAAGAAACGTTTAACATCTATTCAAGGCCGTGAATGATGTCGTCGAAGGTTCCGATGATGTGTAGAGATAACGGATCACCATCTGAATAATGGATGTATAGTTTGCTTCCTGAATTTCTGCAGGACATTACGTGAAGATGTATTATATATTATACGTTTCTCTTTCTTTTTCATTTATTTTTTTCTTTTACTTTTTTTTTTCTTTATTTTTTTTTTGTAAAGGTCGAAGAAGAATATACAACCAAGATAAAAAGAGGACACAATTTGATGACTTTTTTACAAATCAAAAATTAAAAACAAAAATAGTATATATAATAGTATAAGTAGTATAGTTAATGTAAGATATTTTATTTAAATATAATTCAATATAATATTAATAAATTTCATTGTATAGTTAATATGATATATTATAATTAAATATAATTATATAAATAAAATAGTATAGTTAATATACTATATATTATATTCAATATATACTATTATTATATTAAATTATATTAAATGAAATATTAATAAATAAAATAGTATAGTTAATATAACATATTATAATTAAATATAATTATGTTAAATGAAATATACATATATATATATATATATATAAAAGTATAGTTAATATACTATATATTATATTCAATATATAATATATTATATTAAATTATATTAAATGAAATATTAATAAATAAAATAGTAAATTATATAATTATTAAAAATAATTAAATATAATTAAATAAAATATATATATAAATAAAATAGTATAGTTAATATATATATAATATATTAT